ATTCACTAACGATAGCGAGGAATATTATATAACATTTGTTGCGCGCATTAGTGATATAAATAATTTGACATTCTTGCGATTGTTACCTAGTTATTTGCGACATAAATATTTATGCATCAAGAACCGATTAATCCTTCTGCATATATCGACATTTAATACCAAAAAATTTTTTCTTTCATCTTCTGTTTAATTTATTTCTTGTTGTAACGCATAAAACCGCAGATTTAGCTATTTACAAAAGAATCGATATTCATACAAACAAAATTTTTTTACATAAAGTGATATTTCCATCTTTTAGAATTTTTGCAATTATAATGAGAGATTATGATTGTATTAACATTATGATCGTATAAACACTTACCTTCTCTTCTCTTCGATGTCACGTTGTTTCTTCTCCTCTGAAAAAATTCAGAAAGTTTTATCAAATTTCTAGATTTCGCTTAGAGGAAGCAACAAAGGTGGACATAAATGCATTTACCAATTTCACGTTGGCGACGTTCCTCCTCTTCCTTCTTCTTCTGGGCCAATCTCTTCTCCTCGTCCGCGCGGGTGACCTTGCGTTTGGCTTGCTTTTCCTATAATTTCTCCATATTAAACAAAGTATTAAACAAGAGTATATTGAGTGTACTCGAAGTAAGGAAACAGATCGTACCTTTAATCTCTTCAGCTCCTCCTCCTCCTTGGTTCTCTGCTTTCGCCATTCCGCTATGTATTCTTTGAGCTGCTCGTCAAGGTCGCTTCTCTTCTGTTCTTGCCTCTGAATTTTTAATGACGGATTAGTTGTAACGCGTATTCGATTGCGTCCCCTTTAACGATCGTGCTAGAGCCCAACGTATCCCCAATGCGAGTGTGACAGAACGGCGTTCGCCGATGTACATATATACGTATACATTTCGCTCTTCTGCAAAAGATCTTTTTACCACGGAGATGGTTACGGATGCACGAGGGAGTTTTGGGCACTTGCACGACGTTACTTACGAGCGCCAGCACTCACCTTCATAAACTCGATATTCTCGCCAGATTCCCTGAAGGAGGCCGGAGTGAAAACAAAAGTAATTCTCTCTTTAAATCACGACGGTTGTGCCCGCTCTCTGGAAGATCTCGCGAGATCCCCCAGAACTCCATACGCGATTCTCACGTCCATACCTCCACTACTTTATTACAACTCCATCCATTCTCTCCCGTAGTGCATATTATTGAATGCAACACGCTCGTCGCACGTATACACACACAGACAACACATGGGCGGAACAGACAGACAGATATAGATAGATGCACCGGTCGGATAAACAGAAAGTCAGAGAGAAATAGAGCGGGATACGTAGGGGAGGGAGGCGACGTGTGAAAGAGAGAAAATAAAAGAGAGAGTGTGTGAGAAGAGGAAAGTAAAAGACAAAGGCAAGTAATAAGGCGATAATGTGCAAGCGTACAGAAAGAAGAAACCAAAAAGTGCGCACCGCAGCGAATCACGGGAGAAGGCATTAATGAGAGTAGCGGAGGAATGTCCCATGACTGTCTTGGGATGAGTTACTTCAGTCGTCGAGGATCAGCGAATTTTCGTGAGTGACCAGAAGAGATATCGAAGGACGGGGGAAACGAGATAGCGCATCGAGATATACGCTTCGGGGGATGATCAATATTTGAGCATCGTAGGCTCATAATTGCTTTCGAACGGATTTTAAACGTAAGTCCGCTCGATTTTTCACACCGAGCTGTGGAGGTCAAATCCGCAGGAATTCACGGGAGACACACCACTCGTGTCCCGAAAGACACAGGTCGCCCGAAGAGAAGGGGAGGCTACCGCAATCGTTATCGGATTTCGGCTTCCCTTCCCCGGTGTTTTTAAAGCGTTTCATTAAAATTTTTCGCATAATCTTTTCTTTTCCCGTGATTTACATCGTGAAAGATGTCGCTGGGACTTGTAAGAGCCGTTTCACTCATGGGAACTGCGGGCGGTGGGTATTGTGCAAAATTATTGCTTGCGAGTCGTTCGATTATGGCGCAAAATATAAAAATTAATACAGGGCG